CCCTGTGGTCCCCACCGCTGTGCCCCCCCCACGGCCCATGGGGAGAGAGCTGGAGCCCAGCTGAGGCTGGGGCAAGGGGGAGCCCAGGGGGACAGTCCCCAGTGCCAGGGGGGCTCCTGTCCTGGCTCAAGTGGGGGAAGGAGGATGGAGGCAGGGTCTGCCTTGAGTGAGGACGGTCCCCTCCAGCACCGGGGACAACCCAGCCCGGAGGGAAAGGCTGGCGGCAAAGCCACCGCTGCATCTCTGGCAGGCGCGGTGACACGGTCCAGGGGACAAAGACCCGGTGGCTCGGGGGCCCCCCAGCACCCCCCACGCATGCACACACTGCCATGGCCATGGGGCTGGGCCAGCCAGCCCACAGCCGGCGCACGGGTGGGGGCCGCAGGGAGGGGACGCACTTCTGGTCTCTCAATACCTGCAGAATAAAGTTTGTGCCCGTGCAGTCAGTGGTGGGAAAGGGGCCATCGATGCTGAGAGGAAAGTCCCTCCCCGCAGGGTCTGGATCCAGCCCAGTCACCTCCCTCGCTGCAGTCCCAGGCGGCTGGAGGCCACAGGGACGGGCTCGTGTGTCTCAGCTGGTGGCATCCAAGGGACGTGTCTGCCCGATAGTCGGGCTGGGCGGCAGCCGGGTCCCATTGCGGGGCTGTGCGGGTGCTGGGATGGGGCAGGACTGGCCGGGGCACATCCACGGGGTCGGCACTCGGGCCCCACTCAGAGCTGGGCGGTTTCCACACTGTCCAGCCTCAGCAAGCCCAGGCACTGCCCAGGGTCGGGGCTCTCCACGGCGGCTGCCTGCAAGGAGACCTGCAAGCCAGAGAGGATGGTGAGAACGAGACCAGGGCGATGAGAGCTTTGGGTCGGCAAGTCCTACCCCCGTTTCGGAGCCCCCGAGCCCAGCCAGGTCCATCCCAGCCCTGCACGGGAGCGGGTCGGTGCTGAGCCTGGGGACCAGGAGTCACCTCCCTCCGGTGCGCCCTGCGGCAGCAGCAGCCAATGTGGAGGAGGTCGATGGTGAGCAGGAGGCAGCGGATGCTGAAGACGATCTCCATCGAGTCGAGCAGGAGGGAGATGGCCCAGAGGGTCAGCGTGGAGCTCTGCGGGGACACGGGGTGTCAGGTCCCCACCTGCATCCCCCCATGCCCAGCGCAGGCATCCCCAGCCCCAGCCCACAGCGCACTGGGGACTCACATAGACACGGGTGGGATCGAAGGGGCACTCGCGGGAGACCGGGGCGAGGGCGACGTTGGCAAAGGTGCAGGGGGCCAGCAGCACCCGGCCCTGACTGCCCAGCGTCAGCCCGATGGAGACGGCCAGCCCCAGCAGGCAGGACAGGCAGCCCAGGCTGCTGCTGGCGCTCAGGGTGAAAACCGCCCATTTCTGCAGGAGGGGAGAGAAGAGGCAGCGCGGCGAGCCAGGGCCGTGCACGGCCGCCTGTCCAGGTTCCCTCCCCAGGGACGGTCCCCGAGCAAGGGGACGTGGCGGCCGTGTGCGCTCCATGGGATGGCTACAGCCCGACGGGTATTGGGCGAGGGGCTGCGGGGCCGGGGGTGCTTACGAGGGCGGCGGGGGCAAGGTAGCGGGACAGCATGAGGGCAGCTATTCCACAGGAGATGGTCTGCGAGGAAGTGCGGGGAGGTCAGCGACGCATGGCGCCCACCTGCCCCAGGGACATCGGTCCCCTTTCCCTGTCGACACTGTCCCTGAAAGCTCATCTGGCCAATTCAGCACAGTGGGGGGGCAGAGCTTCATTTCCCCCAGCCTCCACCCCGTGACAAGTCCCTGTGCATTTAAACCCCACCAGTTTT